TGTTAAACTGTTGGTCTTTAAAATAAATCTACTTTTGAATTTCACGGTTGACTGATTTTGCAGACCTTTTAGACTGATAACGTCCGTGCGCCGATGCGGCAAACTTGTGTCATGAATCATGATGCGGTCCTAATAGCGATGTATGACTGTTGTATCCGAATATATATGAACTAGCTGTTTTTAATATTTTTATATTTAACATGTTAGTTTATCAGTATGTTTGAAAGTATATTATTTCGATTATTGGTGCTTTCATCGACTCTCCCGCGCGGTTTAAAACACCACGTAGTTATGAAATAGCCTATGACAAGTACAGAGAGTCTCTGTCTTGCCCTCACTCACGGGCTGGCGATATGACGATTTGAAAAATGTCCATATCGCCCAACACTGTTCCATGCATTTTTAGACACTGCGAGCAGGGAAATCTATTTAGAGCACCTTATTATATTAATTAAAATATCGATATTTGGCGCCAGTGAAATCGGTTCTCGTATCGCATGAAGGACAACGATATATCGCCATATCGATATTTTGTCCCACCCCTAATCTTGAGTTCATTTTTCACCATTTGATCTGTGTAAATGTCTTCTACAGTCAGAGATGGCGATGAGTTTGACCTTAAATTGGGCTCAAGCACCAGAGCGGTCACGTCCCTCAAAGAGAAGTTGGAGGAACTGCTGAAGAAGAACACTCAGTTTGAGAGGTAACCACACTGAAACATCACTTCATATCTGCTGTGGTCTGCACTTGTGTTTTTGAAACTGACCACTTTCATGCAGGTTCAGATCTGTCCCTTCAATTATTTCATGTCTTGAGGTTTTTTGTGGATTTTAAAAGGGTCTTAAAGTCTTTATTCACTCTTCCACAATTAAGGCCTTCATTTTTTTTTTTAATCTGAGTAGAAAGTCTTACTACTTTAACTTCATTAAAAAATGAATATCTTCCTTAATATTTTGTCTTGTTTCCAGTTCAAATATCTAAACATCCTTAAATCAAGCTATATTAACCTGAGATGCAAAATGAACAAATTAAGTATTGTTTTCTGTGAAACTGAGCTAAATTAAGTTTATGCTTAAAACAAGAACAAATACCTGTCAATGGGAAATGAAAACTTATTTTCCCTTTGAATTAAGTTGATTTCTCTGAACCCATTGGCAGATATTTGTTCTTGTTTTAATCAAACTCACTTTATTTGAATGAATTTCTTATAAAACAAGACTTCTTGTTATTTTGCTTCAAATAAATATATCTTGATTTAAGAATCTTTAGACATTGGAAAACCAGACAAAAATACTGAGGGAGTACATTTTTTTGCAGTGTGATTGGAAGTTACCACACTTCCACAGTCAGAGACATACTGACATATTGTGTCCCATTCAGTTTATTCCTTAAATTTTCTTTACTTGGTCTTAAAAGTCTTAAATTTACCTACTTAAACCTTATGTCTCCTCTCTGTCTATAAATAAGTGGCAGAAGCCCATGAATCAAACATCTTTGAACTGTTCCTTATGTAGTCTGGTGAGCAAGCAGCAGGAGGAGATCAACAAATGGAAGCGGCGAGCGTACAAGATGAAGGAGTGTAAGCGAGATGCTCCGTGCACCCCGACCAAACGCCATCCTCCTCTGACGGAGACTGAAGTCAACTCGCCGAAGAGGACGTTCCTGGACTCTCCGAAGAGCAAGTTCTTTGACGTGCGCTCCAACGTTCCCATCACCCTCAACCATCCCACACAGTTCTTCGATAACTCCAGTCTTGGGACGGTGCCAGGTATGTGAGCACTGCGTCTCATGCAGTGTCTCATACAATCACACACAGATCAGTTACTAGTGTTTTCATGTTAGAGGTTTCCTGTATGCTGGCCGAGCCCATCATGGATTCTTCAGACAGTGATGAAGAGGGTAAATGCACGTGTGAGGTGTTATGGGTGGTGTTTTTCACTCACTCCAGTGCTTTCAGGACAGTGTTTAACTGGCCGCAATGTTAAGCTCCCAAATCCAGTACCGTCTGATTGGCTGTGGTTGTGTGGTGTCATGGAGAAATTTCACTTTAAGTGTGGATTGAAAAACTGTTCGTCACTCAAATTTTGTCTGGTTCTGAAACAGTAGGGCTGCATGATGAATCGTATTTTAATCATGATCATGATTACTGCATCTCAGACTTAAGCATAATCGCCTGTGACATTTGCCCTCTCCATATCGCCCAACACTGTTCCATGCATTTTTAGACACTGCGAGCAGGGAAATCTATTTAGAGCACCTTATTATATTAATTAAAATATCGATATTTGGCGCCAGTGAAATCGGTTCTCGTATCGCATGAAGGACAACGATATATCGCCATATCGATATTTTGTCCCACCCCTAATCTTGAGTTCATTTTTCACCATTTGATCTGTGTAAATGTCTTCTACAGTCAGAGATGGCGATGAGTTTGACCTTAAATTGGGCTCAAGCACCAGAGCGGTCACGTCCCTCAAAGAGAAGTTGGAGGAACTGCTGAAGAAGAACACTCAGTTTGAGAGGTAACCACACTGAAACATCACTTCATATCTGCTGTGGTCTGCACTTGTGTTTTTGAAACTGACCACTTTCATGCAGGTTCAGATCTGTCCCTTCAATTATTTCATGTCTTGAGGTTTTTTGTGGATTTTAAAAGGGTCTTAACACTCAAATTTTGTCTGGTTCTGAAACAGTAGGGCTGCATGATGAATCGTATTTTAATCATGATCATGATTACTGCATCTCAGACTTAAGCATAATCGCCTGTGATATTTGCCCTCTTGTTGTTCATCCTGAAGGCGTTTCATTGTAATTTGGCACTTGCACTATCTTCATGGTTGTGGTTGCCAGATTTCAAGAGTTTAAATCCTCCAATGAGAGCTTTTCTCTTAAACGGCTCTTGCTTTTTCACTTTGCCAACTTTAGTTAGTGTGTAATGTTGCTGTTTTATCACAAAAAAAGGTTGCAAAGCTCAAAGTCCACACCAAAGGGAGATATTTTCTTTAATAGAAAACACATTTGAAGAACTGCAACAAATGGCTCGAATTTCCAGATCACACTCTATTTGCCAGTCAGTTAACCAATCAGAGCACATTTTGTATTTCGTAAGGAGGATTTTCATCAAAACAGGAACTAAACGGCATGTGTCTGAGACAGACTGCATAGAGAGGTGCTGCAATAATGTAAACTAAACTTTAACTAAACCTGTGAACAAACCATGAGTTAAAATAAATTATAATATTATTAGATATATATATATATATATATATATATATATACACACACAGTGCTGCTTGAAAGTTTGTGAACCCTTTACAATTTTCTATATTTCTATAAATATGACCCACTTTATCATCAGATTTTCACACAAGTCCTCAAAGTAGACATAGAGAACCCAATCAAACAAAGGAGACAAAAATATTTTCTTTGTCATTTATTTGAGAAAAATGATCCATTGTTGCATATCTGTGCAGTGCAAAAGTATGTGAATCTTTGCTTTCGGTATCTGGTGTGACCCAATTTTGCAGCAGTAACTGCAGGTAAAGTTTCTTGTAACTGCTGATCAGTCCTGCACAACATCTTATATTAGTTTTAGCTCATTCCTCAGTACAGAACGACTTCAACTCTGTGGTGTTATGGGTTTCTCCTATGAACTACTTGCTTCAGCTCCTTCCACAACATTTCAGTTGAATCAAGGTCCATACTCTAACTCTGTCATTCCAAAACATTAACTTTGTCCTTCTTTAACCATCCTTTGGTAAAATGATTTGTGTGCTTGGGGTCGTTGTCTTGCTGCATGACCCACTTTCTCTTTAGATTCAGTTCATGGACAGATGTCCTGACATTTTCCTTTAGAATTTGCTGGTATAATTCATAATTCATTGTTCCATCAATGATGGTAAGTCGACCTGGCCCAGATGCAGCAAAACAGGCCCAAACCATGATACCAGCACCACATGTTTCACAGATGGGGTAAGGTTCTTATGCTGGAATGCAGTGTGGCGTTTTCTCCAAACAGAACACTTCTCATATAAACCAAAAAATTATATTTTGGTCTCATCTGTCCACAAAACATTTCTCCAATAGTCCTCTGGCTTGTCCATGATCTTTAGCAAGCTGCAGACGGGCAGTGATTTTCTTTTTGGAGATTAGTGGCTTTCTCCTTGCAACTCTGCCATGGACACCATGGTTGCTCAGTGTTCTCCTGATGATGGGCTCATTAACATTCGCCAATGTGAGAAAGGCCTTTAGTTGCTTAGAAGTTACCCATGGTTCCTTTGCAACCTCGCAGACTATTACAAGTCTTGCTTTTGGAGTGATCTTTGTTGGTCGACCGCTTCTGGGGAGGGTAACCATGGTCTTGAATCTCCTCCATTTCTACACAATCTGTCTGACTGGATTTGTGGAGTCCAAACTCTTTAGAGATGGTTTTGTAACCTTTGGTTTTCCAGCCTGACAACAACTCTTTTTCTGAGGTCCTCCGCGATCTCCTTTGTTCGTGCCATGATTCACTTCCGCAAACATGATTAGCCTTTCATAGATCCCTGTTCTCTAAATAAAGCAGGGCACACACTGACACATGATAGTAATTTCACTGAGTGAAAACACCTCTGAACAGATAGACTCTAATTTCACCCTCAAATTAACAGCTAATCATAGAGATTCACATACTTTTGCACCGCACAGATATGTAACAATGGGTCATTTTTCTCAATAAATAAATGACAAAGAAAATATTTTTATCTCATTTGATTGGGTTCTCTATGTCTACTTTCAGGACTTGTGTGAAAATCTGATGATGAATTGGGTCATATTTATGCAGAAATATAGAAAATTGTAAAGGGTTCACAAACTTTCAAGCAGCACTGTATATATCCATTATCATGCAGCCCTAATAACAGTACATTGGTGCCTGGTTTCTCCACTACTGTCACCTGATGGAGTTGGGTTCATTGAGATCTTTGGCTTGCTTAGTTGGGGTTTAAAAGACTATTCATAAAATATTAATGATTTAACTGCGCTGCCACTACTGAATGAGAAAACAAACATGAACAGGGTTGATCTAAATATTGACACTGTTGTCTTCTGTAGAGCTGCTTTACAGCTGAAATAATTGAATTTTACTACATTAGCACTGTTATTTTCCTGTTTATTACTGTGAAGCTGTTTTGACACAATCTGTACTGTATAAAGTGCTGTAGAAATAAATGTGACTTGACTTAGGTCCCTCACTCTCTGTCTGTTGTTTTTATTTTAGATTCCAGTTCCAGCACAGCCGTTGCATCAAATGCAGCACCAGTAGACGACTGGTGGCAGATTCCTAATGCTTTGCCAGAAAAGCCTGATGCTAGCACGAATGCTAACGCTTGCCCAACACAGTGATCTTGGATCTGTTTTGCCGTCTCTTTCTCTGTCTGTTGGAAAGTTAATTTGAGATACAAGTCCTTGGAGTCCAATCATTCACCAACTGATGAAGAACGTTAAACGTGTCCTGAGATAATGACATCTTCTAAACTCATCCACCATCTGTCCTGCTGTGGAAAATCAGAAATCAGGAAGCTCTTTATGATGCATCAAACTGATGTTCATCTTCACAGCCGGAGATGCACCGCAGTGTACATCCAGTGAGCACTAACAACTATACTCAACTCTGCAGTCGTTGTTTGTCTTTTTTGTGTGTTAGCTTTTTTTCTCTTGTTTTAATGTTTTATGTAAATAAAGTCAGCGTTTCAAATGTAAATGTGTTTTGTGTTGATTTGCATTCTGTCTTTGAGTGGTTTATATTCTCGCATTCACAAAGCAGCAGAAGAATCACTTCATTCCTTTAAAGGGGTCATGAACTGCCTTTTTTTTTTTTTTTTTTTTACTGTTCTCTGAGGTCCACTTATAATGTTATCAAGATTTTCACATCAAAAAATGTCATCATTTACAAGTAATAGGCTATTTTCTGTCCTGTTTTGACCCCCCTCATCGGAACACTCTGTTTGAATAGGCATGGCGGATTGTAGACTCGGAAGTAAACACCCACTGCTATGATTGGCTAACAGTTGTGTATGTTTGACAGCCTATATCCTTCATAGATGGACGCTGCTGTGATTTAGGTTAAAAACGCACAAGTACTCAGTAAATATCAAACGATCTGTAATAAAGCAATAGTGACCACATAATAAAAACAGTTACACTTGTGTGATGCGATATTACTCTAGGATCCAATATAGTCTGCACAGCATTGCTTTTCAGTTTCAGTCTTTCTGAAAATGCTGCGTCAAATAATGCCTTGTTTGTAAACTAATCTGCGATAAAATGAAGTAAACAAAAGGACCTAGTTCCTACTGATGCGGTCTGGAACTTCAGTAAAAATAAAGCTTATCCAATCTTGTTGGGATCAGAAGGGAGGCAATGCAAAGTGCCTTATGTTTTCCACAACTTGGCACTGAACAGCATCTTGTCTTCGGAACCATCTTTATCATTTGGTTTCTGCATAGACCTGCATTTGCTTCCAGTTATTTACACTATATGCGCTAATTTGTGGGTGGGGCTAAGCAGGCAGTGATGTAGAAGCAGGAGTTGATCTTCTGCGGTGTTTAGCAACACTATTACGTCATAAATTGGCACATTCCTCAACGTCATTTTGGCAGATCGGCCTCAATATAAGCGGTTTATAGACTAACGAGTTTTTGAGTTCGAAACTTGCAGGATGTTTTTATAGTACAATGACCTCTTATATGTCAAAAGATCAAGGGAATTTTGATTTCTCAGTTCATGACCCCTTTAATATGGGTCTGTTCATGTTCATATTGATTCCTTAAACTCAGAATTTAGATTTTTAGGGCTATTGCTTGGATAATCCTGAATTAAATGTGAAAGGCTTGTTTTCTCCCAGAGCTAACTGGTATTTAGAACAATGGTTTATCAGGGGAAGTTAGTACTTTTCTGCTTGACGATTCAAATCCACTACTGTGGTTCTTCTAATAGGTTGTTGTTCCAGTTTAATCAAATGTTGTTTTTTTCATAAATTGCTTTGGAAAAGCATCTCTTTTATTGATGTTTTTATGTATTTATTATTTTTCATAACTTAAAGGGAACAATAGCAAAATGTTCTTAGAAAACATTGTTAGCTTGGATAGTATATATAGCTTTATGTGAATTTAAAGATGTTTTCAGGCAAGTGTCATGTCGACATTTAGAGTTTACCTTGGAGAGCTTTACTTTCAGATTAAATTTCTAAATTTGTTTATTGTCATAGATTCTACTGCACTCTGTTTGTAGTTTCTCTATAAAAACACCTACCCAAAGGCCATCGTGGACGTAGTTTCATTTGGAAACCCTGAGAAAGACAAATACTCCATGTCCATCTTGGCGTCAGAAAAGGACTGGGCAGAGTTGAAGTGGGATCGCCCCAACACTGAGGGCCCCCCAGACCTCCAAGAGAGGAGTTAGCCAGGGTCCTAGCGAAAGCTGTTAAGGAGCTCGACCTTAACCCCAGAGGAACCTGCACCTATAGCTGACCTGAAGGACTCTGACCGTAAGGCGCTCCTCAACACTCCGTTTACTCCTTCCATCCTCTTTGGTGATGCTGTGGAGTTAGTTATCGAGCGCCAAGAGGAGAGAGCTCGCTGAAGGCCCTGGCCCTCAAGCGCCGCATCCTGCATTATGTTCCCCTTGTTTCTGTAAGGCGACAAATCCAATGTTCATGTTTGTTCTATAAAAACACACAAATCCTCACAAAAAGAGCAGTTTTCTCCTTATATCGATATGGTGTTACTCACCCTGCAGACTGGACTTGCCCTAGTGACTGGAGAGATTTGACCGCTATGTCAGTTCCTGGAGAGCTATTCCAGGAGTTTCGAGCTGGGTGCTGAGCATAATAGAGCACGGATATTCCCTCCAGTTCAGACACAGACCCCACCAACAGCGTGGTTCCGTCACTGACACTGCCTCAAAATGGCCCTGTTCTGAGACAGGAGGTTCATAGACTGCTCGCAAAAGGAGCAATAGAGCGAGTCCATCTGAGCGAGCTGGAGAGCGGGTTTTACAGCCGCTATTTTGTGGTACCCAAGAGAGATGGGGGACTCTATCCGATTCTGGACCTGAGACCCGAAACAGAGCACTTGACAAGCGCGAGTTCAGGATGACGACTCTAAAACAGATCCTGGCTAAATCCATCCCGGGGACTGGTTTGCATCCATAGATCTGAAAGATTCAGATAGCACCGTGCCACAGATGCTTTTTGAGGTTTGCTTTTGAGGGCACTGCATACCAGTACTCAGTTCTCCCTTTCGGGCTGGCTTTAGCCCCTCACACGTTCTCAAAAGTGCGTAAATGCGACTCTTTCCACTCTCAGAGCGAGCGGTATGTGCATTCTAAAGTATCTGGATGATTGGCTGATTTTAGCCCATTCACGAGATGTGCTTATCAGTCATACAGGCACACTGCTTCGCCATCAGGAGTCCCTAGGGCTGCATGTGAATTTGCAGAAGAGCATGTTCACCCCAAGTCAGTCTATAACATATCTGGGTGTGTGTTTCGATTTGGTGGAGATGCGAGCCCACCTCTCTCAAGAGCGCATAACGACCATTTCATCAGCTTTGCTACACTTCAGACCAGGCCAGTCTGTTCCCTTGAGGGAATTTCAAAGGCTTCTTGGACTTATGGCATCAGCCTCATCAGTTTGCCACCTGGGTCTTCTGCACATGGTCATATGCACATCGTGGTCACACACAGTTGCGTCAGCACTCCGAGATCATGGCGCGACCCATAAATGTTCAGCCTGGGGGTTCTCCTGGGACTGGTGACAGCCACACACTGTGGTTACGACAGACGCGTCGACCTCCAGCTGGGGAGCAGTGTGCGAGGGCGTACCGACTTCAGGCCTGTGGTCAGAGTCTCAGAGCAGGTGGCACATATACCGCTTGGAACTGAAGGCCTTAGCCCTAGTGGCTTTTTTACTGCAGCTGGAACAGTGACGTGCTGATTCGCACGACAATATGTCTGTGGTTTCGTACATAAATCGCCAAGGCGACATGTGCTCTAGAGCCCTTTTCATGCAGGCTGCGAGTCTTCTATTATGGGCGGATTGTTATCTACTCCATCAGAGTGGCGCATATCCCTGGTCTCCTAATCTGCGGAGCGGACATGCTTTCGATGAACGGAATTCCTTTTTTTTTGTTGTTTTTTTTCCCGCTGTCTCACTCCCCGCTAATGGGGGATGCTCTGTCGTCTCACTGGCTGAGAGCCAGACTTTGTGTTCCCTCTGGTGAAGATTTTGCCTCTGGTATTGTGCAAAATCAGGAAAGAGAGAGCGTCGGTGATCCTCATTGCCCGGAACTGGCTGAATCAACCTTGGTTTCCAGACCTCAGGGAGATGCTGGTGGTTCCCCCTTGGCGAAATCCTCTCAGGAGGGGACCAGCTGTCTCAAGTGAACAGCTCGATATGGCACCCCAGCCCGGAGCTGTGGAGCCTGCACGTGTGGCTACTTCAGGAGTCGTAGAGGGGCTAAGCGCCCTGCTTCCCCATGTGCTTGACGCTCACTGAGTCACGTGCACCTTCTACTAGGCATCTGTAGTACGCTCTTAAATGGGGAGTGGAGATATCGACCCGACGAACTGTCCCATGTTGGATGTTCTACGTTTTCTGCAGCACAGGCTATATAACAGGAGTCTACGTCAACGTTAAAGGTTTATGTTGCCGCTATTGCTTCGTTTCATTCCCCAGTTGATGGGCAATCGATCAGGGGGCACGTGCTGGTGGTCAGATTTCTCAGGGGAGCGAGGAGATTACATCCCCCATGCCCACCTTCGGTGCCGCCTTGGGACCTAGCGCTGGTTCTGAAAGCTCTCTCTCTACCCCCTTTCAATCCCTTGGCATCAGTTGCTATGAGGGAGCTCTCCCTCAAAACTGCTCTGCTCCTTGCCCTTGCCTCGGCTAAGCGCATAGGATATTTGCATGCGCTCTCGGTGGATGTCGATTGTATTCGCTTTGGGCCTGGGGACTGCAGTTTTAGGCTGTTCTCCAGCCCAGACTTGCCTACATGCCTAAATCTTTCGCCCTTTAAAGCGCAGGTCATTTCTTTGCACGCTTTGTCTTCCGAGCCATCGACCTCGCATGACGCCGAGGCTCAGAGCACTGTTTGCCGTGTCAGGGCTTTAAGGATTTATATTGACCGCTCTGCCATCTTTCAATAGTCTGACCAGCTCTTTGTGTGCTATGGTGACTGTACTAAGGGACGAGCAGTATATAAGCAGAGGCTTTCTCACTGAATAGTGGACGCTGTCGTGTCAGCTTATGCGAGCCAGGGACAGGCGCATTGTCTGCCGAGGCTCAGAGAGCCGTTTGCCCAGGAACAGGAACGCCCTCTCAACATCAGAGCCCATACGACGAGGGCTATCCCTCTTCATGGGCCTGGTCTAAAAGCACGTCTATTCGGGTTATATGCTTTGTAGCCTGCTGGTCCTCACAGAACGCAAACACGTCCTGGGAACGATCCCGGGATGGGGACCTTGTAACATTGCCGGGATCAGTTCTGTAACAAACCCTGTGTGAACAAAAGCCAGGAGCAATGCCGTAAATGCTGTGTCGTAGTGATGGCGCACCTTATCGTGTGACTTTTTACCAGGTGTTTTGAAGGCAGATCAACGTTTACAATGAAAAAAAATTGTAACTCCTCACTATCCTCTCTGAAGCAGAGATCGTTCACCAGTTTAGTGGAACAGTACGCATCATATTACGTCACATCCTAATGTCATGTGTTTATGGGATCTTTACGGGATGTGATTCAGGAAAATCACTGGCAGTGTGAATGAACCAAAATCAAACAATCCCAGAACAAATCACGGACACATTATTTGTGTACTATCCGGAATCTCTGTGTGAAAGAGGCTATAGTTACCGCGTGTAGCTGTTGACACTGTACAGGCCTATGCACAGTTTTATATGTGCTTTTGTTACGTTGCACAGCGTTACATTGCTGCTGTTGTTGTGTCTGCCCTGTATTCAGTGCAGCCACTCTTTTATTCTGGCCAGATATGCTAATTTGGTATACCTGAGATGTTCTCTGCCTATCAGCTGCAGGCTTTCCTAGTGACGTTCGCTATTGGTTGGGAAATTGTGTGTTGTTCTACCCCTTGCTTGGTGTGGTCTTTCGGTACATTCCAAACTGGATATATCGCCCTCTGAAGGGCACTTCGGAGTGAAAACAATCATGGCCGCCATATTGAAGGATCATTCCAAACCGAAGTGCTCAAAACTGGCTACTTCAAAGGGCCCTTCGGAATAAAGGATTTCGAAGGGTACAACTGATGGACACAGTACAAATACATATTACATTGCATTACATTACATATACAAATATACATTATATTTAACGTAAAAGATGACTGGGGGTCAAAAGCATACAAACGTTTTGTAACAATGTATGACGAAGGCGCCTCCTTGATCGTCTCGTTAAGATGGCCCAGAAGTGCGTTCCAAAAAAAAGTTGTTTTTTTTTACCCCTACACCCTTCATCCCTTCGACGCTCTCACTCTGGAGGGTAAACCCTTTGAAGGGATTAGGGCATAGGGATGAGCCCTTCCGAATGGAACGCAGGGTTAGTCCTTGGTTCGAGCTGTCAGAATTTGCATAATTAGCGACAATTGCCCAGTTTATTGTACTGGCGTTTTCCTAGAAGGTTTCAGGATTTTGGAGAAGGGGAGGAGTTCCCACTGCGAATGCTTCGCAATGTAGCGTGAACGCTCTCAGGGACAGGGGTGGACTTACCCATTAGGCAAAGGTAGGCGACCGCCTTGGGCCCCCAAAAGCCAAGGGCCCCCTAAAATGCTTTTCATATAGGATATGCGCATTAAGCGCTGACACACGAACGGTTGCTGTTTACGGTGTTTACCACGACAACCATCTGAGACTCCCGAGTTGAACGTGCTTTTTGTGTACCCTGCTTGAGGGAGATGAAAATTTTATGCATCTGAAGCTGTAATTAAATACTGAGAAACAGTGTGTATTATACGTTTATAATTGTTTTAAATGCCGCTTACTCATTTATGAGAAGGAACCAAGTAGATGACACAGTTACTTTTTTGGTTGATATAATGTGTGTAAATGTATAATTGCCTTTTCATTATGTTTTCAGTTTTATTAAAATTTGTAGTTAAAATAACTAAAAATAAATATATTTTAAAGTTTAGAATTAGACAGCCTTTGCACACAGGCTTACGCTGGTAACTCATCAGTGGATTTTCCTCGTCAATATGGGCTATATTTTTTCACACTTTTCTCATTCTATATTTCAGACGTTCCAAAAGCGCCTCCTACTGGCAGAGAATGAATGTTCATTTTCAATAATCCAGTCTGTAGTTTTTGTTCAGATCAATGCGAAAATCCACCCACATAACCCAGTTTTAAATTAATATAATAATTTATACTTCTGGCTCACCCCCGGTTTAAACGCTCAATTGTCAGGTTTATTATTTTATAATTTTTGATTTTGTGAAAACCTGTATCTCAACTGTAAATCAGTTGTTATTTCGTGGTCTACAACATGAAAGAAAACCATTATAACATGTACCTGAAAAATGTAGAAACATTGGACACAACTATGGCACTATTGTGCAGCAGCAAGCATCACAACAAAAGAAGGAACCTCGAGGTTAATCAAGGAAAATGTGTGCAAATGTATAGGGCCCCATTCCTATATTTTGCCTGGGGCCCTCAATTCACTAAATCCGCCCCTGCTCAGGGAACCTAGGTTACGACAGTAACCGGAGACATTTTGTAGCGTCGCGGTGCGCGCTTGCTTTCTCCTACGCTCATGCGTCACCATCAGGTCAGTCGAGTGAGTTTAGACCGTCAGTCCCGCAAGCATCAGTTTACCTGAGCAGCGCGGCGCGTCTTTCCGCTGTGGTACTGACGGGGGATTATTATAAATACGGAGAATTAGTCTCTTTATAAACTTTATTTTGTGGATTAAATTCTGTGTGTGAAACATCAGACAGACGCGATGCAGCAGACGAACGCGGATCCTGCAGGTGAGTTCTGCTCATCTACGTTATAATTATAACATGCGCTCATCTGTAATAACATGAAAACATAAAATGATCATTAATAACATCAGCTCATCTGTTATAACGGACCATCATGACTGTGACTGACTGACTTTATTCGTACGTTCATAACGAGCGTCTGTGATGAGAGTTTATACATGTATAAAGTTTATAAATGCCACATTTATGCATTAATTACTTAAAGAAAACAATACTATCTTTGAGAACAGCATATTAAAAAGTTTTCTTAATTTGTATAAATTGGAAAGTCAGGCGGTATAATACATTTCAAGATGCCTATGATCGTAAAGTACAAATATATTGGGTCTCCAAATTTGTTTATAAAACCTGCATGAATGATGATATAAGAAATGACGAAATGCCACTTTTGACTCAAATAAGGTCACACCTGCTGCCGTTTTTAAAAACATTTTATTTTTAACCTCATCATTGCGTTTAATGCAGTACAGTTTTACATTTTGGAATGTTAGTTTAAGAAATACCACTCTGCTTATGACATGACTTTATGTATTACTGGCTTATAGTCGCATTTTCAGAATAGATAATATAATTTATATAGTATGTGACCCTGGACCACAAAACCAGTTGCTGGGGATATTTGTAGCAATAGCCAAAAATACATTGTATGGGTCAAAATTATCCATTTTTCTTTTATGCCAAATATCAATAGGATATTAAGTAAAGATCATATTCCATGAAGATATTTTGTAATTTTACTACCGTAAAAATATATCAAAACTGATTAGTAATATGCATTGCTAAGAACTTCATTTGGACAACTTTAAAGGAGATTTTCTCAATATTTTGATTTTTTTTGCACCCTCAGATTCCAGATTTTCAAATGGTTGTATCTCGGCCAAATATTGTCCTATCCTAACAAACCATACATCAATGGAAGGCTTATTCTTTATTCAGCTTTCATGTGATGTATAAACCTCAATTTTGAAAAATTGACACTTAAGACTGGTTTTGTGGTCCAGGGTCACATATGTAATATATATGTAATATAGTTTAGATTTTGTAATTAAATAAGCAATCAAGTTGTTAGTATAGTTACTATATCCAAGCTAACAAGGAACGTTCTGTCAATGTTTTCTCAATGTTCATTCACAGTTATCTGGTTTTTAATAATGTTCTCTAAATGCACACACACAATAATTTTTTTTTTTTAATGTTACGTTTCAGAACGTTCAGAGAACATTCAGAAGTAACATTCCAGTAATGTTTGCAAAATGATAAAATGAAATGTGCCCTTAACGTTTGCATAACCAAGAAAAAACGTTTTTAAAACATTTAAACAGTTTGTTTATGTTTATATTATGTTTATCAGAAATCAGTTTTTCTTAACTTAATGGGAATGTTAGCTGGAATTGAATATATAACTGTATATACTTGTACAACTTTATATATAGCTGTGCGATTATCAAGTCAATTTCATTTGTATAGTGCTCTTCACAATCATACGGTTATGTCTGTAATGCCTTAGTGTTTCACCATAGAGCAGGTTTTAGAGCTGGCCAACAATATTGTTTGCTTTTTGCAACAATTAGAAATCAGTGTAAGAGACTTATACTTGTGCATGACTCATGCATCTGTTGTGTGATTGTCCAGATGCGTTTGTGAAGCGGCGGCGGACGGCTCTCTGGTGTTCAGTGTCTCTGTTTGGCCTCTCTGTTCTTGTTCTGGTGGTCGGGCTGCTGTCGGCCACACAGACGGATAATGTGGCTGTGTCTGGATACTATCCCGGGATTATAGTGAGTGACTCCACACACAACTTCACATTTCATCACTTTAATCAACTCTTTTTGTCCTTTTATTTATGCAATAAAACACCAGGACAGCAGTAGCAGGTCGCAGCACGTTTGAGCCTTAAAGTCTGTCATTATCTTGTTGAAAGTTGAAGTTATTATTACATGTTAAATCAAGTATGTTGGTTTGTTCTCTTCTCAATGGCAGCTGAGTTTTGGAGCGTTCTTGGGTATCGTTGGTCTGAACCTGGTGGAGAATCGCAGGCCGATGGTGAGTACCAGCTCAAATCCAGCCTAAATCTATCAGAAAATGGCTTTATGCTCTATTTTAGCCATGAGTAAACGGAGTATCGGCTCTCTGAGTGACATAATGGCTCATCAATACAATTACAGCCGGTGTATTTCAGGTGCTGTTTATTTCTGTTCCTGTGAAATATATTTCAGATAATATTACTCGTGAGATATGGCATTTTTACTAGGGAACACAAGTCACATCCGCTGTCAGATCGATGAGTGTGATTGGACATGTGGTCAGTAATCCTGAATGTGATTGGCTGACAGATCAGATGGCGCTTTAGCTGAATTAGATTAGCATCGATGATTAGATGAAGCAGACCATCGCTGGGCTCCAGGAGCTGCGTCCCATCTTCAGTCCACGTCCTGATCAACTCAATTAAACTCACAGCCACAGGGTTATAGAAACTAGATGTTTGCTGTTAGTCCATTTAAAACTGACCAACATGATGCTAAGTGACTATATTGCTGTGTGGCTATAATGATGTTTCATGTAGTTGCTAGGGTGCAGCTTTGTGTGCAGTGTGGTTGCTAGAGTGTTGTTATGCAACTAATGTGTAGCATGGTTGCTAGGATTTTTGCTAGGTGACAGTAATATCTTCAGTGTTGTTGCTAGAGTATTGCTATGTGACTGCAATGTGTTCAGTGTGGTTTCTAATGTTTAGCAGTGGGTTTTAAAATAGAGGAGGCACAGTAATTGTATTGGTCTGGGATCCCTGCCGATTATTATTATTGTTTGCTTAACCACTTTTAAATGGCTTTTTGGTTGGTTTTAGTCAGAAAACGTAAAGAAAACGACATACATACAGCAAGATAATATCATTTCACTTACCTGGCCTATCACTTGAAGCAAGCATCCATCCCTTCTTAAAAGTCTGTGTTAAAAGAGAGCTGCCTGTTGCGCCATTTAATTAAGCCGACTGCTGTAGCCTATATCCAGCTTAGGCTGTTTTCCCTAAATTTGTATATATACTGTTTGAATGACAGCTTGGTAAATCTGTTGGCAATCAGATATTCAATATCGCTACTCATCATTGGTACATTATCAGCGCAGCGGCAGACGTTCAAAATAATATCACGTAATTTACGTCTCTTTGATGATTGGTTGATATCAGGCTAGCCTCCCTTGCGAGGGTTCTTTTTTCAACACTCCTCAGCGCTGAAAGTGAACACTCGATGGTTTTCACCTCAAAATTATGGGGAAGCTGTGCCTCCCCTGCCTCCCCCGACGAGCCGCCACTGATGTTTAGCTATGCGACTAATGTGTTCAGTGTGGTTTCCTAGGTGTTGCTATGTGAACTGTATATTATAAACACATTGCAGTTATATGATAAAGTTATAGTGTAGTTCCAAAGGTGTTGCTACGGTACTGTAATGTGTTTAATGTGGTTGCTAAGGTGTTGCCATGTGACTGTAATGTGTTCTGTGCGGTTGATAGGGTGTTGCTATGTGTTCAGTGTGGTTCGCTAAGGAGTTGCTATGAGGCTATAACAACATTAACCCTTTAAGCCCTGAGGGCATTTTTGCCTCACTGAAGTTGTTTTTTCTGAGTGACGTACACAAAAATAATGACTGCTAATTCTCCTGCTGAGAATTAGCTGATAAAAATGTAGGAAAAATTTGAGTGCGAGAAGAGGAATTTTTCATATCTGTCTTATTTGACATTCAATATCTTAGGACAGAAATAAGGTAGGAGGAAAGTTCTTTTTTGATGATGTTCCCCAGCATGTTCGCTGTTTCTGTTTCAAATTTTGTGGTGATAGCATAAAGTATCCAAAAGTTACAGTATTTTGTAACAAAACAGGCCTTTTTGTTTAGCTCTTCACTCTCTGAAGGAATTTTAAAAACTGTTGTTTTTTGAGTGCCATACACAAAAATAATGACTCATAACTCCAAGACCGTAGCAAGGAAAGTCAAAAGGTAGGTATCGTCTGATAGAAAATTTTCTATATATTTATGGGGGGGGTGGGGGGATCTTTGCATTTGAATATTCTCATGCTGAGAAATAGGTGATAAAATGTACGAAAAATTAGTGTGGTCAAGGGAAATTTTTCATATCATTCTTATTTGACGTTCAATATCTCATGAAAGAAATATGGTAGGAGAAAAAATCTTTTTTGGTTTTTTCTGAGTGCCATACACAAAAATAATGACCCATAACTCCAAGACCGTAGCAAGGAGAGTCAAAAGGTAGGTATCGTTTGATAGAAATCTTTCTATATTTTTATGGAAAATCTTTGCATTTGAATATTCTCATGCTGAGAAATAGGTGATAAAATGTAAGAAAAATTAGTGTGGTCAAGGGAAATTTTTCATATCATTCTTATTTGACGTTCAATATCTCATGAAAGAAATATGGTAGGAGAAAAAATCTTTTTTGGTGATGTTCCCCAACATGTGTGCTGTATGTAAATTCAATTATTTATATTAATATTATTTTGTGGTGATATCATGAAGGAATCAAAAGTTACAGCATTTGGAACCAAGGTAGCCCTTCTCTTAGCCCTTTACAGTTTTGACATTTTTGTTTTGAATTTGAAGTAATGCCTCACTCAAGTTTAGTCAAAGCCCCAAAAAATTATACTTGTTTTATTCTACTCGATGAGACTCAATGTTACTGACATATTAGAGTACATGGCACAAAAACATTTTTCATAAATTATCATTTTTCAAAAATCTATTTATCCGCAAATAACTCGGCACTACTTTGGAGTTAATCAAAGTGGCCACATGCATTGTAAAGGTCAGATTCCAAGCTTTCAAATGTCATCAATTTTGTGTTGATTAATGCAGATATTTTGAAAAATATGCTTATTTTTTTCTTCGCTAGGGGGCACCCGCTGGCGGTACACTCCGGTTTAGAGGAACTAGGCAGCACTGGTTAGGAGTTGATCAAAATGGTTGGATGCATTCGAAAGCTGAATTTATACGCTTTAAAATGATACCTAATTATTTTAAAAAAATTATATAAAATATAAAATACACAGAAATATTCAAGGTTTTACATTCTGCTTGTCAAGTATTCAGTGGAGCTCTTCAACTGATTTCTTCAATTCATGGGTTTAGGCATTATTTATACATGAAAGACGCAATGGATTATGATTTTGGACTCATTTCAATCGTGAGAATCTGCTGTAAATAATGATATGCCATGTTCCACGATCGGAGCATGTTTCATGAAATGATAAGCGTAAAAAACCATGTCCATGAGAATATTGCAAAATGTGCGCATTTGGAGTTTGTGTTATAATTCGATTACGAATATCTTTAGATCTTTGTTTTGAATTTGAAGTAATGCCTCACTCAAGTTTAGTCAAAGCCCCAAAAAATTATACTTGTTTTATTCTACTCGATGAGACTCAATGTTACTGACATATTAGAGTACATGGCACAAAAACATTTTTCATAAATTATCATTTTTCAAAAATCTATTTATCCGCAAATAACTCGGCACTACTTTGGAGTTAATCAAAGTGGCCACATGCATTGTAAAGGTCAGATTCCAAGCTTTCAAATGTCATCAATTTTGTGTTGATTAATGCAGATATTTTGAAAAATATGCTTATTTTTTTCTTCGCTAGGGGGCACCCGCTGGCGGTACACTCCGGTTTAGAGGAACTAGGCAGCACTGGTTAGGAGTTGATCAGAATGGTTGGATGCATTCGAAAGCTGAATTTATACGCTTTAAAATGATACCTAATTAATTTTAAAAAATTATATAAAATATAAAATACACAGAAATATTCAAGGTTTTACATTCTGCTTGTCAAGTATTCAGTGGAGCTCTTCAACTGATTTCTTCAATTCATGGGTTTAGGCATTATTTATACATGAAAGACGCAATGGATTATGATTTTGGACTCATTTCAATCGTGAGAATCTGCTGTAAATAATGATATGCCATGTTCCACGATCGGAGCATGTTTCATGAAATGATAAGCGTAAAAAACCATGTCCATGAGAATATTGCAAAATGTGCGCATTTGGAGTTTGTGTTATAATTCGATTACGAATATCTTTAGATCTAAATGATGACAGATTATGGTATGATTGGGCTCATTTTAATCAAGATAATTTTCTGAAAACAATGACGTGCAATTTTCCATGATCTCTCCATGTTTCATGAAGTTATGAATGAAAACGTAACCTATGTTTTTCTCAATTTAATGGTTTCATGTGTGTGATAACATCGTAAGTAATATATTTAGATCTAATGAACGAATTAAGATGAGTTTGGGCTCCTTTTAATCGGGAGAATTTTCTGAAAATAATGACGTGCAATGTTCCATGCATCTATGCATGTTTCATGAAGTTACGAATAAAAGCGCAAAGTAAAACTTCGTTATTTGTCCTGCTGCGCCTCAAGCGCGCCCATTTGGGTTTTATGTGTTATAGCAATATCTTTGGATCTCATCGACGGATTATGGTAACTCTGGGCTCATTTTAATCAGGAGAATTTTCTGAAAATAATTACGTGTTTTTCGAGATCTATGTATGTTTCGTGAAGTTATGAATGAAAAAGCAAGGTGAAGCATAGAGCTGTTTTTCTTTGCAGTGCCTCAGTGCGCCTGTCTGCTTTCATGTGTTACACGGATTATGGTAAATTTGGGCTCTTTTTAATCGGGAGAATTTTCTGTTCGGTTTTTCAAGATCTATGCATGTTTGGTGAAGTTACGAGCTAAAACGCCACAGGACTGCAACCTCAGATTTTTTTGCTAAGCTACATGACCTAATTCTTTTCTATGTGTTATAGCTTTATGAGTGATATCTTTAGATCTGAGCGATGGATTATGGTGAGTTTGGGCTATTCTTAATTGGGAGAATTTTCTGCAAATAATGAAGTGTCGTTTTCTATGATATATGCATGTTTTATGAAGTTATGAGCGAAATCGCCACATGACAGCTACCTTACATTTTTTTGGCTAAACTAAATGCTGCATGTGCAGTTTTATGTGTGTTATAAATTCATGAGGAAAA